ATCAATAATATTTTATATATATATATATATTATTAAACTGATTTATATTATTATGTTAAATTTTTTAAAGAATATATTGTTATTTATTTTCGGTAAAATATATTCAATGACTATAAAATTGAAATAGTGGTCGTGGAAAATATTCATGGGTCGAACCGAAATACCAACGTCGGTAACCCTTTAGAGGTTAGTTTTTCTTGTTTATCTCGCTCCGATTAAACTGTTATTTCGTATAGTTTTTATTTGTGTGGTATGTGGTCTTTAATTCGCCGGATTTCAACTTGGAGTTTATCTATAGTTCCGTTATTGTTCAACGAATCTTGTACTTGAGCCCTCTCGACCACCTGACAGAGATACCTCTTTATTATCTATATGCAATTAAAAATAGAAATTCGTAAACAAAAATTATGATTCGTGTCATTTCGTAACAAGTATTATTATTTTACAATAAGATATTATTAAGTTGTGGGATAGGTATTGGTTTTTAAGTAATACTCTATAATTATTGAATTATTTCAACAATTTCCGGTATATTCCGCGAAAACATCTGCGGGTAACTGCCAATGGAAGTAGGGTTTACAGGATGTAACAAGACTATTTTATACTCTGTATACTGTATAATTTTGCAATTTTATTTATAGCTTTACGCAACGATAAATCATTGCTAAGGAAAAACAATTCTGAGTGAAGTTCGGTTGAACATATTTTGTACACATTTTTGTTGTATAAATTAGTAACTACAAATAAATTACAACTACAAATGATACGAACAACTAGGATCATTATCATAGTTTTTCGTCTCAATTTCTTCAGTATTTTTATGGAAAGCCAAACAATTTTTATTCGTGCATATATCGTATGTATCGGAAATAATGGGGTACAAAGGTAATTTGCTTCCACGTAGTGTACCCCGGACAACGTCATAGACGGCTAAAGAATTACCATCATTATCTGCTATATTGTCTTTCGATCTCACAGCTATCATGAGCACCATCAACACCAACGACGAAATAAGCCCTTCTCAGGGCTATCTGACCCGAGATGTTGGCTCAACATCTTTCAACTTGATATTGAAGGTATTAGCCTAGAAAAAAGCTGCTACCTATCTCGCTTAATACAGAAACTTAAAGCTGATGTCGCTATACTTCAAGAAACCCATGCAACCAATGACCAACAACTACATAAACGAGGGAAAATTAACGGGTTCAGATTAGCTGCAGCCACATATCACAAAAGTTATGGAACCGTTACATACGTCCGAAATAACATACCCAACTGGAATCACATATACACTAAAATTATAGAATTCGTATCTATCATAGCTACTTGTATTACTATAACTACATACCTTTATAACTATATTAAATATCTATAAACCTCCCAATGACAATTTGCCTAATCCAGTCTTATCAGCTATAACACATCAATTACTAGCGGCCGAAGATTTCAATAGTCACTACACAAAGTGGGGTTACAGCGCTAATGACAAAAATGGAGAAATTCTACGCGAATGGATAGATACTGAAGATTTACAGTTAATATTTAATGCCAAGAACATTAAATAATCCTTCCATTCTGGCAGATGGAACCGTGGATATAACCTTGATCTATGTTTTTAAAGATCAAAATGGAATAGCATTGAAATTACATAGAACCGTTTTATCTAACTTCCCTAAGAGCCAACATAAGCCAATACTCAAAAACTGAAATCCAAATTTCACTCGTAAAAACAATCCCAAAGCTCACATGGAACTTCAGGAAAGCAGACTGGAAATCCTTCACTAAATCGCTAGACGATAATATCAGATAGATAAAGCCAATATTAAACAACTATAATCGTTTCGGCGGAGTTGTTAAGGGAGTAGCCAAACAATATATCCTCCGAGGCTTTAGTTGGAAATATATTTTCTGCTGGGATAGGGAAAGCAATAAACTATATAAATAATTTCAAATCAATGGTCAAATTAGACAAAACTTTCATTAGACAAAAGTCGAATGAAGAGGTGAACTGAAACAATGTTACAATTAGATTTTAAACACTCCAGTAGAGAGGCGTGGATCTTATTAAGAAGACTAAACACTAATCCGTCGCAGGGTTTTAGAACGACTAAAATAAAACCAAATGACTTCACCAATCGTTTAGTATAAATTAATAGGGTCCCTATAGATCGATGAAAAGGTGACCCTGGAACTCGAGAACAAGAAATCATCGGCAACTAAAAAATCTATAAGGCTGAAAGATTCTCAACTGAAGAAATTCAATTAATAATTAAAACTATACAACTAAATAAAGCAGCTGGTCTTGATAAAATGTTCCCAGAATTTTTAAAATATAGTTGCCCCAACAAAATTAAATGGCTATCAGATTTCTTCTCTAATATCCTCCAATCGAGCCAATTACCGGGATATTTTAAAAACACCAAAGTCTTAGCAGTTCTTAAGTTAAGGAAACCGGAAAATGACATATTCAGTTACAGGCCAGTATAACTTCTGAGTGTACACTATAAATTTCTAGAAAGACTTATATATATAACCGCATTTTAAAAACTATTAACAAGATCCTAACACAAGAATAAGACGGATTTCGTTCAAAGAGAAGTTAGTGTGACTAGGTTTTGGCACTCACTAATTTCATAGAAAAGGGATTATTGGACTATTTCGGTTTTTTCGTGTTTTTTTTTTCATTTATTGGGAAAATCAAAAAATAATCGCCCTAAAGTACCACTCCAGTCAGTTTTCCTTTAAAAAACGTGTTATCATTATTGAAGAAATAATTCGNCGTACATGTTATAGTAAAATATTAGGAAAATAATAACATATTTTCTTAAATAATATTTCTTTAATACTGTATTTATTTTTCGGACTATTTCGGTTTTTTCGTGTTTTTTTTTTTTCATTTATTGGGAAAATCAAAAAATAATCGCCCTAAAGTACCACTCCAGTCAGTTTTCCTTTAAAAAACGTGTTATCATTATTGAAGAAATAATTCTGGAAAAAAAGTTGTTCACGGAAAATATAAAGGGCGAAATATTTTTTTTCAAGTAGTTACAAAAAATGGTACTTTACCCGTGTTTCCTCGGTTTTTTTTTTATATTTTCAAATATTTCGAAAAAAAACCTAAAAAAAATCGAAAAAATAACCTCTTTAAAGTACCACTCTAGTCGAAATTTCTTTTAGAAAAATTGCTTTCTTGGATCTAATTTTTTTATTTTTTTAAAATGTTTTTCAGTAGCAAAATTCTTTTAGGGGAGTTTACATTTGCCCAGCTTGACAGCTAAATTTGCATATTATTAATTACGTATATAGGCTTCTGAAATATATAATATAACCCATCAAAAAAGCAGGGTCTAACAGTTTAACTATAATATTGATATTATTACATTAATATCTGGCTAAAATAATACTAAAAATACGGTACCACAGTTATCAATAGGGTAAAGAGCGCACGACACACATTATAATAACTCACATTATTTTAGAAATATTATTACGGTATTTATATAATTAATATTTGTATGATTGCCTGAACAATTTCANAGAAAATTACAGTCTACGGCAGTGGATATGTTTTTTAGATACGCTTGCAATAGGTGGTCGGGTACATTGCCGCCAGTGATAAGAAATTACGGTTAGTATACCAACATCACCACGGGCAGATAGACTTACCGGAAAGACGGGAATTTCCCCGGGGCCCCTTTCCTTTGGCCGGCTCTTGGTAGTTTTGAATAGAGACTATCGAAATATCGGTTTATCAGTGATGGATACAAGAATTTATTAGTCAATCGAGTATATGGCCGATAAGCAAAAAACGTTGACATAATTCGCACGATACATAGACCGCTTATTTGAAAAATATACGAAAAATCGATTCTGGGCGGAGTTCAGTTAATAGTTATGCTCTGTCAACAATATATACTATATGTCAGATTAAAGTAAAATAATAAATAGGCTTTCTGTATTTTCCTGAATAATATTTGTTTGATGTTGTACTAATTTTCCCAGTTTTATCATGTTTCATATAAGTTTTTCACATTTAAAAATTCTTAGGAAAATCGAAAAACGATCCCCCCAGAGTACCTCCCCAGTCAAATTTACTTTTAGAAACATTGCTATTATCATAAATTGAAGCAAAATTAATGGTAGAAAAGTTGTGAACAAAAAAAATCGTAATTTTTTTGTAAAATACTCGTACATTCACACTTTTTTTTTCGGATTTTAAAATTTGAAATCGAAAAACCGAAAAATTACCTCCCTAAGGAAAATGGCGTTTTACTTAAGAATCGAAGCGTCTTCTAGTAGAAAAGTCGTGCACAGATAAAAAATTAAACATCAGTTAAATGATAGGCTTTTTCACTCCACTCAGAATCTTAAATACACGTATACATTTGATCGTTAGTATGAACCGGCAAACGAGTTAATTCGAACAATCTAAAATTATCCATGTTTCGTGATAATTACGCGAGGCCGGAAGTGTTTAAATTTAAGGGTACGGAGAAGTATATTATATTATTATTTCAAAATAACTAACGCACTCATCCTGATTGGACCAATTTGCAGGACGCCTAGAACGAAATGGGTTATTTTTTTTCTGTAAACGATGTTTCAGTTGTATCTATCGAAAATTGTATTGGGTCTTTATTAAAGCATTAAAACGTTTTTTGATTTTTCTTGTAGTTTTCATAATAATTGGAAAAAATTAGGAATTCTTTTTGCATACATTTTTTAGATTTCTTGCTTACCTTAGCAAAAATGGAAAAAATAAGATAAATAATACTCTACCCAGAATCTTTCTCATTAGCAATAGTTATCAATGCTTGCGGATATAAATTAAACTTCTCTATGTATCCTTCAATTTAACGTCGTTCTTAAAACATTGGTATACTGATCGACAGAATTAGTAATTTAAATATTGTTTAATAATACATCAAGCATAACTTCTATTTAATCACATTCGTACAATCTTCCTGGTGAATAGATAGAAATATTTACGTTCTGTTTAGATCTCTTTTAAACGCTAATGTAATATTTCCGCTTTTTGCAGCATTACCGAGTGGTAAAGGAACGAAATCTNCGACAGAATTAGTAATTTAAATATTGTTTAATAATACATCAAGTATAACTTCTATTTAATCACATTCGTACAATCTTCCTGGTGAATAGATAGAAATATAAAACATATTGCTGGGTTTTTAGGTACGATTTACGTTCTGTTTAGATCTCTTTTAAACGCTAATGTAATATTTCCGCTTTTTGCAGCATTACCGAGTGGTAAAGGAACGAAATCTCTCTTGTTCGATGTAAAATAAACTTTTTCAGTTGCTATTCGTATTGAGTTAATACTGTTTTTAAATTTGTTTTCAGCTGCCCTCGACTACAATGACAATGACTATGAAGACGAGACAGATAGAAGACCACCAACCGACTTCGAAACCCTAAAGTTAACGGATATGGAAGTTATCCGAACTTTAGGGCAGGGAAGCTACGGACGGGTGGAACTGGTTGAAGCAAATCGGAAACGATTTGCTTTGAAAGTGATAAAAAAGGAACATGTGAGTAGTGCAATTGATTATGCTATTACATGTCTTTAATTCAATAATTGGTATACTGTGTTCTCGATATAGTCTATTGACCCATTTATGGGAAAATATGTTCGATCAGAAGTAGACATCATGATGGAATTGAAAAATGATTTTATAGTAGGCATGTACACGTCATTCAACGACGAGGATAACGTGTACATGCTTATGGAAATATGCGAAGAAGATGTAAGGGCGATTTTGGTGTACGTACTTATTTATTGTTTATTAAATTAAACATACCGATTGCAAAAATATTCATAGAAGATAAAAATTTCATTTTAATACAATCAATTATTTTATAAAACAGTTTAAATAGATTTTGATCAATTATTTAAAAAAAAAATGATATGCAGACAGTTGGTCCGAGTCGTAGAAAATCCGAAATGATCTCTGAACTAGAATAGAATCTTTCTTTTATTCACTCATCTTCACAATACCAACCATTTGAAGTAGATTTTTTTTATATTTAGAATGCCCTTACATAAATAGTTTTTTAGTAATATGTATTTATCATTATCAATAATTATAATTCAATGTAACTTTATAATTATGTATAATTTATACTGTATAAATAATCACAGGGATTATAAATACGTTGAGGAGAATGTTGCTCAGTTTTATGTAGCCTGTGTGGCAGAAGGACTTATGTATTTGCATAGGAAAAATATTATTCATCGAGACTTAAAACCCGACAACATTCTAGTGAACAGCCAGGGTTATTTGAAAATAGCAGATTTCGGGCTGGCTAAAAAAATGGACATAGTATTTTTCACAACTAATTTAGTATTTATATAATTGATTACATAATTAACATACATTTATTATTAGAACGAAACGAAAGCGTGGACGTACAATGTCGGCACGGCTTGGTACATGGCACCCGAAATTATATCGGGTAGCGGCCATGACAAAAGCGTCGACTATTGGTCCTTGGGTGTTATAGTGTACGAATTATTGGCAGGTATGCAAATCAATTTATTAAACTAACANTATCTTGTTTGAATTGTAACAATGATTTTCTTTTATTTGTTTATTTTGTTCATCTTCGGTCGTGCAAAAAAGTCGCTCCTTACAATAATAATAATAATAAAAGTAATCTTGAATTAAACATTAATTTTTCAGTGATAATCCTGAAGAAAGGTTGATTGAATTGCGAAACCACGAGTAAGTCACATTAATTTAATTTGAATGATTTCAGAATGTTTTAAACATAGGGATTTAAAATTAATTAAAAATAATTTTGCATTTAAGGTGGTTTGAAGGTTTCGCCTGGGGTGATCTGCAAACTCTCAAAATGACACCACCAACATTAAAGCCATTGACGACAGATGACGCTTCTGTTGAAGATGACTTCTTGGAGTGGGAGCCTACCGATATGCAACTCTCTTCGTCTTCGGACGATGCCTGGGACAGGGGCGACTACTGTTCTAAAGACAGTGACGAAATAAAGCGGAAGTCGGTCGTACTGGATACGAATGTGGTTGAGGAAATGGGCGATGGGATGAGTGAGGTAATGTAAATAAAAAATGATATATTCTCTTATGAATGAGAAAGATCAGTAAGTAAGTTATGATGTGGGTTTGGTTTATGATGGTCCGACGAAAGAGTCTGAGAACGACTTTTAAAAATATCTTTAATAACTCCATAAATTGTATGTTGAGCTCTATTTTTTGGTTATCCTTCATATTTTTTTAAAAATTTGATAAAAAATATAATAGAAATGATTTTTCGGTATTAAAACCTTAAGGTTTGCGAACGGAATCGTTTTTCATTAAATCTAAGGAACTTTTTCGAAAAGGCTTAATTTGTTTTTTTTTTTTTTTTTTGGTACGTTTAAGTAAAGGTACGTTTTCCCTTGCGCCATTCTCTAGCCCCCAAATTGTTCTTATGAATCAACATTTATCTTATTTATAATAATAATAATAACGTATTGATTATGATTATGATTATAGTGGTAATTTATGAAGAAAAATAAATAAATAAAAACTAAATATTTGTTGAACAAAAATAAATTTTAGACCGGTATCGATTTAATACATTTATTAGTTATTTACCAATGATTTTTAATTGACTTCGTTCAATCATTGCGATAATTTCGGTGAAATTGAAAACTCTTGTATGCCTTTTTTTTCACATATTATTTCTGCAGGCGTTGGTTTATTGTAATATTTTATTCTAGTAAAGTATTGTTTGTGTCTGTAAAAATTATAATTATATTTCATATAAGACATTTATTTATCAACGAAACTATTTTATTATATTTTTGAACCAAAATGTACGTTTTCCCTTGCGCGATCGCGATTGCGCATCATTATCGCGCGATTACTTATACAATGTAAATTAAATATAGTTGGTTGTCCTCGTGCGGTCGCGGTCGGCGATCTAATTTTGTTCGCGCCACGATCGACTTGTTGTTTTAATAATAATTATTAATAATGCAATTTTTTCATTTATGTTTGAACACTCGTTGACATCGGTTATTCAAACATGAGTTTCGCAATGGTCAAATTGAATAAGGAGCAAGACGCGATATTCGTTGAGTGTGTAGCGACGAAACATCCCCCAATTTATAATCCCGAAAATAGGCATTATAAAGATTTGAATATACGAGATGCAATTTGGAAGGATATAAATGGCAACGTCGGGCGAAGTAGTAAGCAAAATATTATAAATATTGTTTGTAAAAAATATTATATTTGTAGGAATGAAAATATATTAATGGTATAAATAATTTTTTTTCAAATAATACATTGAGATTATAGTATATTTATTTTGAATATCATTATTATAATATTATGAGTAGAACAAGACGTGTAGAACAGATCGTTTAGGTTTAAAATAAATGATTATTTTCAATTAAATACCTGGACACTGTCTATTTATGAATGAGTATTTTAAAAGCGTTTAATGCACATGCACGTGTACTGTGTACATCTCTACTTTAAGCTAAAAATAAATTAAAATTTCTCGACATTTATTTTTATCGTGTATATAATATCAAAACTAATTTTAATCTCCGTGATATTTTTTTTTTTATTATTAATTGATTGAAAATGATCAAATAATTGTAAAATGTTACCATTTATGCGTGAATTCTTCACTTATATTAAATACAATACACATCAACCTATAATTAGAAGCAGTTAATACTAATTATTTATTTTTTCTCCAGAAGATAAAAATCTGAAAAAAATTATGAATATATTATATATACGTCATTATTCTTTAATAAATAAATGAAATTTATTTCATTTTTTATTTATTTAAATCAAAATACACAAATAATACAATAGGTACAAATCACTAAATAAGCGACAACTATGTATGTTATAAATATTTGATTTGTTAACGTTTTCGAAATGCAATTTTTTTAATCTGCTTACTAATTATTATACTGCAGTATACAGATGGGTTTTATGTTTTAACTTAAAACAAATTTAAGTTTTATTTTTTAATTTGTTACAAGTACCTTATCATTTTTTTTATAAATTACGTTTTTTTATTATTAAACAATATTTTAATAACTCTTGTTCGAAATCGGTTATGTATATTTTATTTTTATTAGATGAAGACTGCAAGAGACGGTATAAACATATTAAAGATGCCTATTTAAAAAATAAACGGGCAAGAAAAATGATTACTGGAGCAAGTGCCTCTTCAAAACCCTCAAAATGGCATTTAGTACCATTTTTAAATTTTTTGAATACAGTATCACAAGAAAGAAAGTAAGCACCTTTTTGCATGTAGAGTGATTGATTTCAAGTGATGGCTATAATAACAATTTATTATTTATTTTAACAGCACCACATCAAATATATATGATACTGATAATAATGAAGATTCTTTCTCAGACGAAGAAGAAATAAATATCACACAAGATGATATACTGCAGTCGTCACCAGTATCGCAATTTCCTTAATCTCCATCGACTTAAAGATCACACAAATCCAGTAATAAAAGAAAAAATTTAAAAGTTACTGAATTATTGGACAAAAGATCAAAAGAAAGAACAGAGCTGATGACGCAACTGATTGCTAAAAAAAAATACGGATAAGTACGATGGTGTTGATCATTTTTTTAAAAGTTTAGCTCTTATCTGTCAAAAAGTTAATTTCACAGGCGAAATTTAAAATGTTAACAATTGTGACTGTTTTGGAACTTCAAGCTGCAAGAGTATGATTACAGTCAAATAATTCTATTAGTAGTTTTCCATATTATAACAACTTTACTACATATAGTTATAGTCCACCTTCACTAGATGCACCATAATATGCAAGTATTCAATAGTTGGTACCAACAAATACCACATTTATGTCTTTCCAGTCAGTTCAAAATATTAAATTCCATGCTTAAGCACAATCGGTAAACTACTTTCTTTTTATAGATTGTAAAATAGTAATTGTATAGGTGATTTGAAATATTCAATCATTTAAACAATAATTATTTGTAAAATATGTACCTATAATACTTACATTAGATATTTCACATGTTTGTCTAAACATTATAATTTCATATTTACTATTCATATATTGTTCCTAAAATTGTCTAAGTTACTTATGAATTAATATTATGTAAATAAATTATTTAAAAATATAATATGCAGGTGTTTGGTTAATCTATCGGTATTTTATGAAACATTAAGTATTTTTAGCTCATTATTTAATTTTTTTTAAATTTTTAAATAATATTTTATTAATTAAAAATTTAAATAAATGTTATATGATAGTTCAAACGTACTCTTATGTTCTTGTTATTCTTTATAAATCTTTACCACTCGTCATACATATATGAAGCTATATTGTTCAAATTTCAACTTCATAAAGTTGATACGAATATTTTTAACTGAATTTCAACAAAAATATGAACATTTTTATAATAAGCTTAAACACTTCTCAAATGTTGAATAGGCAAAAGGTAAGTTTTTTTTCCAAATTTAAGTCTCTACCAGTATTTTTTACTGAGTTACAACAAATAACATAGTGGAAATGGAATCATGGAAATCGAAAATAAAATGTAAGTCCAAAGAGAGTAATAATGAGTCAATCATTAATAAAGAAACATAAATATGAGAAACATGGTGGTACCTATATTTTATAGTATTATATACCTCCATTATCTAGCAATATGAAACCAACGGGTTTTATTTTAAAATTTGAAAAAAACAAGAAAGTAAGTTGTTCAAAATTGATATTACGATAATGTATATTATGTTGCTATACAATTCACTAGCGTATTAAGGGTTTGTCAAGGATGGAGATATTGAATTTTGAAATTTTGTATAATAAGTGCCAAAATCTATATATTTTTGTAAGCAATTATAGTTCGATTAATCAATAATCATTGAAGTGTAATAGTTATTATTACTATTAATAAGTTGATTTATTTTATTCTAAGAATAAGAAGAAAAAGAATCTCCTTTATGTCAAGTGGTTCGGACAGTTTTTGTTTTCAAACAGCAAAAGTACTGGTTGTTCAAGTTTTCTTTGATTTATTTACATGGTGCCTATACATTTTTGATTTTTTTTACTAAATCATAACTACTAAAACTGATGTCTACAAAGCAGATTTATCCCCCTAAAATTTACCGTAAATACGCCACTGATACAATTTACTTTTCCCTCAATTTTTCTTTCCTCTCTATGGTTTCAATCCGAAGATTGATTTGCAGCCAATTTCTACTCTTTCTTTTTATTTTCCGCTTTCCATTTCATTTGCACCTAATATGGACCGAGGTTCCTTATTAACCGTTAGACGTAGGCCTTGACCTTTATCTGGTGTACCTCATAATACGATTCTTTCCTTCCACATTCCTTTCTATATAGCTAGTTTTAGTAATCTAAAGTATTTACAAACATTTCAAAAAGCAATAACGATGGAAGAGTTTAAAAGTCTCCCCTCCTGCAGTAATGGCTGTAACTTATTAAATTCTATTTCCTAACACTATAAAACTGATTCATACAATTTCTCTTAAATAGAATCGTATGTATTATAAAAAAAAATTACTTTTAGATTCCGAGCGAAACAAGGGATTGTCGACGTCATTATTTAAATAAAACGTATAATTTCACGATTTCATTATTTTATAAAAACACGGACGACTTTTTCTACCAGAAAAAATGATTTAATTGAAAAATCACAAGAAACCTTCTTTGTTGCCTTTTCGATTTATTTTCTTACGGTATCATCGTCAAAACTTTTGCGCCAGTTTTAAGGTTTAAAGGAATTTTAATTTTTGGGAGTTTTTTTGCTTTAATTCAGTTATAAAAACACGCAAAGACTTGAAATTTGGTAATAATACATATCTTGTGGAATGGATTATAGCAGTGGTTTTTTTTATGGGCGAAACTCCATTTTATGATGATGACAAAGCAACAATGTNTTTATTAATTAAAAATTTAAATAAATGTTATATGATAGTTCAAACGTACTCTTATGTTCTTGTTATTCTTTATAAATCTTTACCACTCATCATACATATATGAAGCTATATTGTTCAAATTTCAACTTCATAAAGTTGATACGAATATTTTTAACTGAATTTCTTTTTTTAAATTTGTTTACAATGATACTTTATTATTATTTTTTTTATACTGTAGATTACTTTATTTGCTCCAATATATAAATGTAGTACATTTTTTAAAAATCAATTTTATCTACTTGATAAACACATAGATCATTTTTTTGATTTTCGAAATGGTATTTAAAATAAAAACGACTAACCGGGAAAACAATTTTTTTTTGGCAAATTCGTTATTTTATATTAGTACCTACTACGTTTTCTAACACAAATATGGCTCTAATTGAAAAACAACAAGAGACCTCTTTTTTTGAATTATTAACATTGTTTTTAATGATGCCGGTCTTTTTTTAAAATTAGTTTTCAAAAAATTGGAAATAAACGTAGGAAAAACGTAAAATTTCAAAATACCATTATTTTACATTAATACGAAAACGTTTATTATTAGGAAAATTTGTCGAGCTAACGTGGTATGGAAAATTGCACAAAATTGTGTTGATTATATAACCATCAGAAGTCTAAAAATAAAGTTAGATACTGTTCATAGAGAGAAGTTTGAAGGGATAATATAACATAGTGTCTTATTCTCCCTAAAAACATCATATTTTTGTTGAATTTTTTTGCATTTTGAAATTGAATTTAAACGAAAATCGCAAAAAAAAATTACTGTAATTTAAATTATGTATTAGCGAACTGTGCTCAGAATCGTCTTTCGTCAGCAATGGTTTATCGTTGCTTATAGATATAAATAAAATAACCTTTATGCTTCCCAACTACCCGTCTTCAACGGTGGCTGCACCTGTCCCCAGTATCAGCTCTTTTTATTAATAATTTTTGTGGTATTAGAAAATTGTATTTATAAATTAAATTCATTATAATAAATAACTCTATTATTTTAGAGTTTTTATATATTTTTAAAATTAAATTTTTTCAAGGTTTTTTGACGCTTTTTTGTATATTTAAAGAACATATATCCGGTCCTTACGGTTATATCCACTCATTCCGTTTTTTTACTAAAAACTTTTCCGTTATGGCTTTCCTTTCGATATTTTTTCAAATACTTCCTTATTAGTCACATATAAACATTTCTCCTTTGAAAAAAAAAATACCGCCCACCTCCTTTGAGTCCTTTTCCCGATTAAGATTTTTTCCGGAAATTTCGAATCTCTTATCGCGTAAAAAACATTCGTCGTTGACTGTTTGCCTCGATCAAGACTAGATCAATGGGGGGAGCTCAGGAGGATAAAACCCCTGTATGGTATTACTATTTTAGAAAAGTCTAAGTCACCGTTGGCTAATAATTTAGAAGAACACGTAGTTGTAGAATTAAATAGTAGAACAAAAGCTCAAGTTGTAGAAGACGTCAACGATTTAAGAAGTTAAAAAGGTGGATGAAGAATATCTGAAATGTCCATAAAGGATTTTAAACTGTGAATTGGGAAAGGGTGGTTATGGAATGGTAATAATTCTTATCAGAAATAATTAGTATAAATAAGTAATCTGTGATTCATTTGCTTTCCATTCATGTTAGGTATTATTGTGTCAGCACAAAAAATCAAGTGAGTATTTTGCCATAAAAAACACGAAAAAAAAAAGGTAATATAATTGGTGACGACGAAGTGGAATCATTAATGTTCGAAAAAAAGATATTCGAAGTGACTAATGACATCCGACACCCGTTTTTAGTAAACTTATTTGCCTGCTTTCAAACAGACGTAAGTGTACTAAAAATTTGTTTATTTGTATTTTAAACTTTTTTGGTTTATTGTTTACAGGCTCATGTTTGTTTTGTAATGGATATATGCTGCTGGGGGCGATTTGATAACTTACATAGATGGCGGGGCGTTTCCAGAACTTATGGTAGGTTTCTATGCCGCTTGCGTTGTTTTGGGACTAAAGTATTTACACGGAAATCTTATCGTTTAGTACAATGTTAAATATAATATGTATATTTGACGTTGTTATTAATATGGTGCGTTTATTATTTGTTGGCGATTTAAAATTAGACAATTTGTTAATGGACACTGATGGGTAGGTCAAATATCTGATTTTGGATTATTCAAAGAAAGTATGGGATTTGGCTATTGGACCGGAACGTTTTGCGGAACAACCGAATTCATAGCTTCTGAGGTCCTTACCGAAACAACATATATGCGTAGTGTGGATTGGTAGGCTTCAGGAATATTAATATTTCAAATGCTTGTCGGAGAGGTAAATATATTATAAATATTAATGTGTGATATCAGATATAAAACCATAGCTAATACAAATTTGTATTACGTATAGTCACCCTTCACAGGTGACGATAAAAAAAAAAGTGCTTAATTCTATAATAATCGATGAAGTCCAATATCCTAGGTTTTTATCGTTAGAAGCTATTAAAATCACGAGAAGAGTATGTTATTTTAATTTATAATAGAGTACCTAAACTAAATACTTATAAAAGAAAATGTTTTGTTATTTTTGTGGATATAGCTTTTATATGAAAATCCGGAAAAAAAATTAGGATCAAGTGAAAGGGACGCAGGAGATGTGAAAACAAAAGCATTTTTCGGACAAGTGGCTTGGGATGATTTGTTACAGAAAAAGGTAAGAATCTAATCACCTAGACCTAAACCTGTTCAACCTCCGTTCGTCTCTACTTTTGTAAGCATCTTAAAAGACTGTTGTGAAACCTACTATAAGCTCAAATATACTCATATGAAAAAAATAAAAATAAACTCTTTAACTCTTTCTCTTTAAAGAAAAATTAACTTCTGAGACACCACAGTGGACAATACCTGATGGTCCAAGATTTTTAAACGATGAAGAACTAAAATTATTTAAAGATTTTACATACACAGGTGACTGGTTTTAAATGAATAATTTTAAAAAAAGTGGAAAAGTTACTTTTTCATTCATAATAATGTAGGTATGTTCATAAACGATCAAATCATAATAGTCCCGCCAGAAACAAAACAAACTAATTGAATACATTCTTATTTTTTGTGTTATTTTTTCAGACATTTTCTAAACATAATTGTCAATGGCGTAGCGAACCATAGTTTTCGAAAGTGGCTGCTTCTAAATTTTATAGGGTGAGTGGGTAGTTTTTTGTGAAATTTGAATGATTGGGAGGAGCAGTTTGCTAAACTTAAACGTAGTTATTTTAGCGGCTATAGGTATCGTACAAATTTCTGGATTGGGGTGGACGTGAACGGTAGATGTAAAAAAAAAAAGATTTTCTTCTATATTATTTATAGTTCGCGACGCCACTGATAATTGTGTTTATTGAAATCAATATATTATCATATTGTTAATGTACTGGCGGATTTGAAGAAAAACACAACTCGATGATTCATCACCTATTTAGAACCTAATATATGTATAATTTTAAAAAATTGTTTTAATATTCAAATTTTTTTGTTTATATAGATCAATAAATATAATTATGCATGAAATATTCATTTAAATTGTACACAATTATATTAAAAAATAGCTAATACTGGGGACGGATGTGGCTAATGTTGTAGTCAAATAATAATTAATGTAAAAATAAGTGAAATTGTTTTATATATACATATGTATATTTTAATATTGATTTAATAAACATGTATTATATTATTCTGTTTTGTAATGGATATGTGTTCAATAGTTTTATATTAATGGTTTTAAGGGGACCGTAAAAGGGGGTATGGGAGCAAAGCCCCCCACGATAATATGAGGGATATTAAAATACTAGGGACGCTACATTTTTAAAAGTAGCTACCTCTACTATTTTTTTCCCAAGTCAAGCACTGAGATATTTGTATAGGGAGTTGAGTGCTATTGTGTTATCGTATTCTATGTAGTCCATCCCGATTGTATGACCTTTTTTTTTTAGTACTAAAAAATGAATGTGCTTAATGTTCAAAAAGATAATCACTAGTGGAAACTTTAAAAACACGCATCAAAAAAAAATTCCTTTATTTTAAAAAAAATAATCTTCTCTGTAATAATAATAAAAAAAAAAATAAATATTTAAACGAAAAATTGAAATTCGATCACACATTATAATCGATGAACAAAAAATCAAAAAAAAAAAATAATTTGGTGATTCTGACCAATCTTCTAACTCCGCATATTTCTCTTTATTTTCACACAAATGTAGCGTTGGGGGAAAATTCGCTGCGGTGTTCTAATGCTTCAACTGCAGTTTGTGGATTAAAAATTATTTAATTATTTTTCAACAAATTTATTTCGATTCTAAATCCGAACCCTTAACGCCTTGATGGCATCGTCACGATCGAATTTGGCAGATTCATATAGAAACACGCCGGGCCTTCTAAAAATACGCGCGTGCGTATTGCAGTGTACGCACGTATAGTATTTCGTTTAACCGCGTATGCCGAGGGGACGGGGGGGGGGGGGTGTTATATCGTCCCTAGCCCCCCCCCCCCCCCCCCCCCAAACACACACACACACTATCTGCGGATCCGCGCCCGCGTGTTTACGATACTATAACATCATATATCGCCGACGGGGTGGGGGGTGGGGTGGTGGTTGACGGTGCGGAGAGGTAACGTCGGGAAAACGGTTAGAAAGAATATTTATTATTATCATTGTTGTTGTTATTATTTAATAACGATAATGGCGCGTTCTCCTCTACGGCGCGCGCAACGCTAGTACGATAATAATGGCAGCGGCAATAGTACAATAATAATAATACTACCAGACCGTAGAATAATTTTTAGATTTATGGAGTGTGCGCTCCGCAGTGTGGGGTACACACGCACGCACGGGCGCAGTAGGACCGCGGCAGCTGGCCCGCCGGCAGCTTCGCCGCGAGGCCGCACAATAACGCGACGCGTAACACGTCATTACCGCCGCGCGGTGCTCGCGGGCCCGTTTTGTACCGCGTCGTCCGTTTTCGCGCCGCGGCGCGCGCGGCCATTGTTTACCCGGCCGAATCAATGAGCCTTGAACTCGCGCGATCGGTCGGACGGCGACGATCTCGCGACGGCCGTGCGGGTCGCGGCGTCTAGGGTCGTCCCGTGCGCGTCCCGGGAAACCGGCACCGTCGCGCCGGGGCCTGAATCACGCGACGAGACGGATACAGAGAAAATAGAGACAAAAAAAAAACCTGTGGCGCGGCGTAACTCCCGACACTGCTCAACACCACTGTCGTCGACGCTGCTGTTTGTGCCCCGCACACCGTTTGCGCACCGTGTTCGTATACGTGCAGTCAATCGGCGTGTGGTGCCTACTGAAAATCATCGGCGCAAAAATAATTATCGCGAGTTTAAACGATTTTGCTAACATTGTGAAGCGAAAGATATTTCGGAAAACGATAATTGAAATTCGATACGCGCGTTTGTAATTCGGGGGACACACTTCGATCGTCCGGGAACACGCTTCGTGTTTCAGGGGACACGTCGTTTTAGGCCCTGCTGTCGCCGGTTATTGACCGGTCGTACCGGTGTCCCGAAGACGAATGTCGGTACGCCGTTGTACCCCGGTTTCGTGGGAAAAATTTATATTATGTTTTAATTCGCGACATTTTCTTGATTATTTCAACGAATTCGGCATAAAACTGATGACGATGAAACCTTACACGACCGGTGTACAAATTACAGTTATCGCTCGTTTTGTAGTAATCTTTTCTTTTGAGAACAATAATAATAAACGTGTTCTTTTCGCAATGAATTTATAATTTATGAAAAGAAATTAGTACAATTTTCGCCGTATCGTTTTACAATTTACAAGACAATAAGTAGGTTTTTTTTTTTTTTTTTTTTAACGCATATACATTTTAGGTATACAGGTATATATCTAACGCGATTCAATCGTATTTCTGGCCCGATTTCATTTGCCGTTCATATTCCACGCGTCCCGGATCCGCTTTATGAAATCATGGAAACCCTAGGTGTTACGCGCGAAACACGCGGGGTGAATTTATGTCGCGCGTTTTTAATTATCGTCGCGCACGGCTGCAGCAGCTGTTGCGCGACCGATCTTCCCGTGTTCCCCGTCGGTGTACCACCACCGGTGCACCGATGTAATGCGCATAAACCGCACCGGAGTAAGTATACAAACGATAAACGATTAATAAATGTTTATTGCCTTAACGCGTCATTCGGCACGCCATGTTGAAATCGCGTGGTTTCGTGGGAAGCGAATTCCGCGGGGCGTTTCCGCGGTTCGGCGCGTGGCGGACCAATGTCGTAGATTTCAAAAAAAAATAAAAAAAGACAAATCGACTACGGGTTTTGGTTAAATTTTCGAAAACCCGGTGTCTGTAGATTCGTTTTGTTCAGTTTTTCGATTAATTTTTTTTTCGCCCCTTTTTTTTTACGTCGGTCGTCCTTAATCCGTCGAGCCACGGATTTAAATTTAAAATCGTAATAGAACATCAACGCCGCTGTTCGACTTTTTTACTACCTCTTCTCCCGCTACTTCGCCGGCATAGTTTTAGCGGCTCTCTCCGGTCAAATAGTCTCAAACTCGGGAAATATAGTGATATTGTTTTGTTGACAGATCGCAGTGATTGGATTTTGGTTGACTTCAATACGAATTTACCCTGCAGTTATAGCGGGAGAAGGACAGATATTTATTTTAGATTTATACGCCCGTACAGAACCCTCGATTGGAGCTAGGGGGATGAAATTCGATATTATTATATACATATAATGTTACTAGTGTTAATATCAACGAAATTGAATTATATCGTAACGGCTCTGGGGGAAAATTTAACTGCATTGCTGTTCACTGATGTTTTACAAATATAACGTGCGATTATTAATATAATAACTAAAGTAGACAATATAACTTATACCGGATCGGAAAATACACTTAGCTAAACCTTATTCGAAAACAAAAAAATATAATAATATAATATGTGACGCATTAGTACGGATAAGTATATAAAACCAAAGTAAATTGTATAATTACGTATTATTTTCAATGACTGTGCATTAATCGAGTAATCGGTAGAACTTTTATGTCACCTTTTTTCAATGTCCCGAGTGCGTCTCGAATAAAGTATCACCCGACTGCGACCCGATAAAAAAATATTATTATTTTTTCTACGTAGCCAGAATTCATTTAGAGTTACCCAAGACGTGCGCCACGATGACGTGAACTGGCTTACATCCCAAACATATTTAGTTATTTAATTACGCACATTATGGTTGTGTGAGTGATTTAATACAATTTTATTTAGTGTTATCTGTGCATATTGCTTTAAAAGTCGTCTTTTAAATGCCCGCACTCTTTTCATAAAATCGCCATCGTTTAACCGTTATATTCGGCCAAACTTACCGTTTTATCAATTATTAAGTTTTACGCGGACGGTTACACGGCGATCTGTTAAAACATTTACGAATCCTTAAACCGATAACAGTATTACAATCCTCCGTAATGTTACTTTTACTCATAACCTACGAATTGCTCTGATTACTGTGTAATCTGATGAGTGTTAGTCGATAAAGTTTAAAATTTCCTGATCTCTCCTAGTTCAAAAATGATCAAATCGTTCTCGAATAACTTTGACTCGACTAGGGAAAGCTATAATAATTCATCAAGTTCAAATAAACTGTCATCTGAATTGCTTTCATAATTTATCATTATCGTTGTCGACTTCG